TTGGTCAATGTTTATTTCACTTGTCAAATATTGTACCAATGTTGTTTTCTATTTTATGGTACGATGTGGTCTGCTTTGTTGGTATATAAACAGAGTATGTTTGAAATGTAACGATTCATATCTCAGAGGCTGAGACTTGCGTTCTGGAGTCAACTGGCTGGGCTAGACATGAAAGCAGGGTCAATCAGAGCCCTAGGTCGTTCTCACATGTCTTACGCGTCTTTGGTCTGGTCGATAATTCGCTAACCTCCAATCAACAGTCTTTTTCACGTTACAACAATAGTGTCTAGCAGGGTAATTCAAACTACTAGCGATTATTCATCATTGCTTAGAATACTTGTGAATTAAGGCTATATCAAAGCAATCCTTACAGTATACATATATGCCAATAGGAGGATACAAGTAAAACAATATCAAGTGACTTCGAACTTCACTCCATTAAATAAGCGAGTGGCTATCGGGACTTAGTAGTTAAGTGAATAACATGATGGCATTTGAAGTGAATGGTACAGAGTTCGAGTCCCGGAGTGAACATCAACTCTGTAATACAAGTACATCCAGTTGACAAGTCCCAAATAGGACGAAGTGGCGCGCATCCTGAATTCCACTGCTAACCACTATCCATCTTTGCTCAGAATACTTATGAATTGAGGTAATATCAAGGCAATCCGTACAATATGCCAATAAGAAACTGATCAATTGCAATTCTAAACATCCATAAGAAGAGACAAGTAAACAACATCAAGTGTACTTAAGTTTCTTTAAGTAAATAGGAAGAAAAAAGTTTGTTTATATTATCAAATGTTGATGTTATTCAGAATATGCATTAATGTGAGAAAATGAATGAAATTAAATGAAGATTAGTTTAATTGCGAATTCCCCCCCTCCCCAAGAAAACTGCTAATATTTAAGAGGTGGTGGGTAAATTGTAATTTTGCCTCCTAACGAATATTATTACGTAATTATTATTACTGAATGTGTTGTGTATTGTGATCAAGTGTGAATTACACACAAACTAACATACTAACATAAAATGTTTATTACATAAATAAACTAAATCACAAAAATAAATAAAAACCCCTTCTGATATTAATCACCATATGCTCACTAGTGACTGGCTTCAAGAGGTATTTCCTGGAGTTCTAGTGAGAAGCAGTAACCAGTGGAGTTCAATTGGGTCTGTTGTGACATAGTAACTCACTGAAGATAATGTTGGATATGTCGTACACTTTCATGGATTAGTTGAAGTTAGACATTAAAACCGTTAAATTCAAAGGTATTTGAAATACGAAACTTATTGTAAGATACGATACTTGTTAAATCATTAATCAACCGAATTAGATTCATACCTGACTATTACTGGCTTCGTTATTGTTTGTTGATTCAGGAGAATATAAATATTATATTGTTAATTGAGATCATGAATCGATCAATGTTAGACCGAAGTTGAAGACACGGAAGCACTGGACGGCCGTTTCGTCCTAGTATGCACCTCAACAATAAGCATCCGTGATCCAGCACGTGGGATTTGAACCCAGAAGCTTTAGTCCTGTACGCGGATACTTAACCTCCAAACCACTGAGCCGGCATCCAATAGTGTTAATGCTTAACTTCAACTGATCCACAGTATTAAGTTCCACATAGAATAAAAGTCAGAAAATCTGAAAAATTTAGGTATAATCTCATACTTTTCATTTAAACATAAATCTTAAACGATTAAGGTGACATTAGAATGTAGTTAACAATTAAGTTTAATATCATCACCATTATCATCTGCGTCTATTTCTCTTACTCAAACTTTAATTATCATCAATGTAATTATATCAAGGAATAAAAGCACAGTTCGGTTTATTTTCAAGAATTTATCTAAATTCAGTTGTCAAGATAATTATTTATGAAGCAAATTACTTCTATTACCATGAACGCTTATTTACTAATTGTAGTAACTCCTATTACCGTTCATAGAGGAGTAAAGGTCACCTACCAAGATTCACCTGGAATATGGTTCCCAGTTGTTTCCAATAGCATGATTACTACGACTACTGCTGCTGTGAATTTTATCATGTTAAGAAATTCCATGATGGATTAAACCATAATAAAATGATGATCATGATGTAATAGAAACATTTTAATACTTGGTTATATGGTCATATTACTTACTTACTTACTTACGCCTGTTACTCCTAATGGAGCATAGGCCGCAGACCAGCATTCTCCAACACACTCTGTCCTGGGCCTTCTTTTCTACTTCCATCCAATTCTTGTTCATTTTTCTCATGTCTATCTCCATTTTTCGGCGTAATGTGTTCTTTGGTCTTCCTCTTTTCCTTTGGCCTTGAGGATTACAGGTAAGGGGTTGCCTTGTGACACAGTTGGGTGATTTCCGCAATGTGTGTCCTATTCACTTCCAACAGTTCTTCTTGATTTCTTTCTCCACTGAGATCTCCTTTGCTCTCTCCCATAGTAGGTTATTGATGATAGTTGCTGATAGCCGACGAATCAGAAGTATTTTGCATAGACAACTGTTGTTGAACACTTGTATGTTTTGGATGGTGGCTATTGTAGTTCTCCAGGTTTCCGCTCCATAAAGTAGAACTGTCTTGACATTTCTGTCGAAAATCCTGACCTTGATGTTGGTTGACAGTTGCTTTGAGTTCCAGATATTCCTCAGTTGTGAATATGCTGTTCTTGCTTTGCCCATCCGCGCCTTCACATCTGCATCAGATCCACCTTGTTCATCAATGATGCTGCCCAAATATGTAAAGGTTTTTACTCCCAGGGCAGAGGTTAAAAGGTTTGAACAATTTTTTCTGGTTAGCGTTTTTTTTTTGGCGAGTTAGTTTTCTACGGGATGGGGACGCTAACCTCATGCCCAACCCTCCTCCTTTATCCGAGCTTGGGACCGGCAGTAGCTCCCAGAGGGACTCCCGGCGGAGTTATATGGTCATATATATATATATATATATATATATATATATATATATATATATATATATATATATATATATATATATATATATATATATATATATATATATATATATAAAAGTATTGGGTAAATATTTTGTTTTGTGTTTATTAAGGATAAATTCATAGATATGATTGTAGGTGTTCTAATCAGAAATTGTCATTAATGGAGTTGAACCATATCGGATATGAGATTGTATTCTTTCTTAAATAGTGAATAATAGTTACTTAATATCACCAGTTGAATGTAGTTACATATATATATCACTCGATACTGACTGAGTATTTTGAAGGTTGGTCATCTATGCACGAAATCGAAAGTCCCTAATTCGATCCCCATTGATACTCTCCTTGCCACATATTCCTGAGGAGTATGTCATTAGAATGAAGTACTTACTGATAGTATAAATAAGACAAATATTCCTTTTTTGAAATAATCAATATATATATATCATTTGTCGAGATCATGAATAAATTGAAAATAGACCATCATGGAAAACCTGGAAACGCTGGATGGGCGTTTCGTCCCATCGTGGGATTCTTCAACAGTGCGCATTCACGATCTCGTCTCGCGAGATTTGAACGAAGAACCTATCAGTCTCGCACACGAACGCTTAACCTCTAAACCATTGAGCCGGCCGTAATCCAACGGTGTTAATGTTTAACTTCAACCAATCCACAAAGTTGCGCCATCATCCACTATTATCTTCAATGAGTTACTATCTTACAACAGACTCATGATCTCAACTATTGAAATGACTATAATATCTACAAGAACCCTTTCATATATATATATATATATATATATATATATATATATATATATATATATATATATCAGTCAGTCAGTCAGCTACAACGTAGGACCAGGCACATATGTGCATCGGTCCAGGTTGCCATACCTAATTAGCACAACAAGATGAACACCGGATTCATAGGAGTGGTTAGGTCAAAGGTTGCAATAAGGATATACTATAGGAAGGAAGAATTAGTTAGTGGAAAGAAAGATATGAAGTGATTTAATCTCTTAGTTTAAGGGAAGACAGGGAGTGTATACACCGACGCCATTGTGATCGACTCTGAGCCATGTCACCAAGAGTCTCCAACCATTGGTTACGAAAGTCACGCGGACCCCAACCAAGTAGTCTGCATCTACCAACATGGCTCAGACTAGAGGTTAGTGACTTCAAGCACTGATGCCACGTTTTGGTTTGGCCGCCCCTAACTTTCTTCCAACCAACCCCTACACCGGTTAGCATTGCACGTCGTGGTAATCCGTGTTCAGGCATACGTAATACGTGGCCCAACCATCTCAGTCGATGAAGATTAACAACCTCATCAACTGATTTACCATCATTCCCTAATACCCTGCGTCTAACCTCACTATTACTTACCCGGTGATCCCAGCAGATGCCAGCAATATTTCTAAGGCATCTGTGGTCAAATACTTGTAGCTTACGGGTGTCTTCTACTCTTAATGACCATGTTTCGCTGCCGTAAATTAAAACAGAACAAACTGCCGCGCAGTATACTCGCCCTTTTATTGATAGACGGATACCTCGCCTTCGCCAAAAGTGACGTAAGCTGGCAAAAGCCAAACGAGCTTTTCGAATTCGTGCTGAGATTTCGTCCGATACCAGCCCATTAGGACTGATCAGACTTCCAAAATAAGTGAAGTTGTCAACACGTTCGACTACTTCACTCCCTATCCTTAGTTCAGGTGTTGACGCAGACCAGTCCTGAAGCAACAACTTGCATTTAGAGGGAGAGAAGCGCATCCCAAACATTCTGGCATTGTTGCTTAGTGCTACCAGAAGACTCTGCATTTTGTCAGCGTCTTCACCAAACAGGACTATGTCGTCTGCGTATTCTAAGTCGATAAGTGGACCTCCTGGAAGGAGATCAATACCCGAGAATTCAGTTGACGAGAATGTTATTTCCATCAATAGGTCTATGATGAAGTTAAACAAAAATGGATAAAGTGGACAGCCTTGACGGACACCACTTGAGGTTGCAAAAGTAGATGACAGTTCGCCATAAGCTCTGACTCGACTAGTAGTGTTCGAGTAAAGAGCCTTCACAAGGTTTATGTACTTCTGGGGTACGCCTTTCAATGACAGACACTGCCACAGAATCTCGCGGTCTACCGAGTCAAACGCTGCTTTTAAGTCAAGAAAGACCACCATTGTCGGACGCCGATAGGTATGCCTGTGTTCTAGAACCTGACGAATGGTGAATATGTGGTCGATGCAGCCACGACCAGGTCTAAAGCCAGCTTGGTTCTCTCGTGTTTGTAGTTCACGAGTCTTAGTTAGGCGTCTGATAATTATCGAGGCCAGTATTTTAGATACTATGTTTGTTAAACTAATCCCTCTGTGGTTGTCACAGGATGATTTTGACCCTTTCTTATATATTGGGACGATGAGTGATTGCGACCAGTCAGATGGGATAAAGTCTAATTCCCAGATCTTAGCTAAAATATTAGTCAACCTAATCGCTAAAATTGGACCACCATCCTTAAAGACCTCTGGGGCCAATCCATCTGGACCAGCTGCCCTTCCTCGTTTCAGATTAACTATAGCCTTTTGAACTTCAGCAAGAGTTGGGGGACCTACTTCAATGTTCCATTCACATTGTCTGGGAATGGAGGGTAGTTGTCGAGTAGCTGAAGGCCAGCTGAACTGTTCTCTAAAATGTTCCGCCCATCGTTCTAAACGTCTGGACTCGGAGCAGATTAGTGTATCGTCTTTTTCCGATATAATCTCACTTACACTTGACTTATTAATTCCAGTTTCTTTTATTAGTCTGTAAAGCTGTCTTGTGTTCCCTATAGTTGCCGCCTTTTCCATCTCTTTTGCTTTCGTTGCCCATCGCTGCTCACGGTCGTTTCTTAGACTTTTTCTTAACCTAGATCTGATTTGTTTTCGCTCTTCATCATGTTCAGAACCTGATGGGACGAGTTTGCGAGAATCCATCAGTGTGATAGACTTTGAAGAAATCCACTGGTTCCTTGCAACTCTGTGGTTTAAGTCACTAATAGATGTCACTGCTGTTTCCACAGCTGATTGTATGCTCTTCCAAGCAACATCTGGGTCAGCCTCGTCTTCACAACTACCTAAGTGTGACCTCAGTTATTCCTGGAACCTACTTTTGGTTTTCTCGTTACTCAACTCAGTTCCAACGGGTCTTTTTAATGTGGCTTTTTTGCGTCCAGTGAGGCGCAAGCAGATGCGTGCCCGTATTAGGGCATGGTCGGAGTCCAAGCAGGTACTCCAGAATGAGCGACAATCTTCTACCGACCCTCTCCAACGATGACTGATGGCAATATGGTCTATTTGAGTCCATCGTTGGTTTGGTGTAGGGGGTCGCCATGTTAGACGATGTCTCTCCTTATGCTTAAAATTTGTATTTGCTAAAAATAAACGATTGTCTGAGCATAGCTGCAGCAGACGATCACCGTTATCTGTTCGCTGTGTCGGAATACTAAAATATCCACCTAAATGCCTTTCTGTTTGGTTTAAGCTACCTATCTGAGCATTTAAATCACCCCCTACGAGTACTATGTCTGAGCGTTTAGCTTTCTGAAGAAGTTCAGAAAGCTTTCTGTAAAATTCATCTTTCACTTCATCTGAGCTGCAGTCAGTGGGAGCGTAGACAGAAACGACAAAAAGGCAACGACGTGTGTCCCTATCCTTCTGGGTTCTTACGGAGCCGTTCAGCCGAACAGCACATAGACGACTGTTGACGGGGATCCACTCTGGCAGTGCTTGTTCGGCCCTCATGTTTAGTGCTATGCCTACACCTGCCAGTCCACGAGAAATGGCCATCGGGTCACCAGATACACGGAGGGTGTATCTCGTTGGCTCTCCGTTCTGCCGAGGTGAGGTCAAGTGAATGACCACACTGGGATCCTGTATGCGTGTTTCGGAAAGAGACTCTAGGGTTTTAGCCAAGGAAGCCTGCTGACCGATTTGACATAGAGTGCGTACGTTGAAAGCTCCAATGTGTAGTGTGGAGCGAGGTTTCAGTAGACCTGGGACAGAGTTTTGAGCACTAGAATCGTTGGCTATGGTGACACTTGAGGAGGAAGCCGAAGGAGGAAGTTTAGGGTTGAAAGTCGATGTAGGAGGAATAATAGGAATTGAAGAGGGAGGTTGATTATGAATACAGTGGTCTTGAGTGCTGTTAGAGGTATGAGGGCGGCTATCACTTCCCGGTTGCCCACACCGTGGAAGGGTTCTTCTGGAGGTACCTGAAAAGGAAATCGGATTAGAGGTGGTCTCAGTGACCTGAGAGCGTGACCGCAGTGCCCAAGGGACAACTGCTTGAGGCCGGTCGCGCACGGCCTTTTCGTGGAAGGTTTTCGACGTGTTAGCTCCGTTCTTCAAAGGGCCTTACCGCCGGAGACGGAAATCCGTGAGGTAAGGTGAGGTGTGCATTTTTAGGGTCGACCTTTTCTAACCCCACCCCTCCTTGTGGGAAGGCAGCATCGCTGTCATGCTGGTTGTCTGAAGGAAACACCTTACTGCTGTCACACCACTGTACAGTCAGCAGTACGACTTCGCCTTCGGACCTTGGGTTTGTTACTTTTAGTCTTACCGCTCTTCAACCGACCTGTCTGACATGGTAGGACCTTGAGGAACGGTTGTTCCAGTCAGTATAGCTCGGTTGCTTCATCACGATAGGCAAGCCCGACCACCACGTCAAGGTAGCAACAACGGTCGGTCCGATTCGTTTACCTTGGGTTCATTCACTTATTATATTGATTTCATAGATGTATTCAACAACTAATATTCTCCCATTTATTTGGACAGAAAAACAATCTTTATTCAATACTTAATTGAATATTGTCAAAACAAATAAACAAACATCTTTGGTATAAGAAAACTAAAGTAATCGATAAACAGATTATTATTATTATTACTAATGGTTGTTTTATCAACCGGTAAGTAGATTGTTCGTGTTATGATTTATAGAACACTTATTATCTACTTTGTATGTCAATCATTTACATAGTTGCTTCACTCTACAATTTGAAATTTCCACCAACTATTAACAATTAACACTAACAAAGACAGATAAAGACAGCCAGTCTAACAGCAGCCTCTGAATCAGTAGGCTTCAACATATACAAGGGGAAAACCAAGATCCTCAAATACGACATAGAGAACACCAATTCAATCACACTTAATGGTGAAACTCTGGAAGATGTAGAATCCTTCACATACCTGGGAAGCATCGTCGATGAACAAGATGGATCATATGCAGACCAAAAGGCGGCCTGCTTGAGCATCTGGGCTACCTGTTCCTGCCATCTAGATATTTCGACAAGTTATCTATCTTTGTTTGTTTTAATATATCATTATGTCTATTAATCGCACAACCTATTCTGCTGCGTTTCTGAAAAGTGTACAACCTTTCGTTGTCAAAGTTACAAAAAGCTCAAAAAGAGAGAATATTGTTGCTGGCAATATACTTTGTGCTGAGAATTCTATATTGTACCAATAATATAATATTGAATAAAGCTAATAATAATAATAATAATAATAATAATAATAATAATAATAATAATATTAATAATAATAATAATAATAATAATAATAATAATAATGTAAAGGTGAGGATTGGCAAAGCAAGGGCCACATTCCTACAATTGAAGAACATATAGAACTTAAAACAACTTTCAACCAATATAAAAGTGAAAATCTTCAATACGAATGTCGAGGCAGTTCTACTGTACGGAGCTGAAACTTGGAGGACTACTACAACCATCATCAAGAAGGTGCAAGTATTTATAAATAACTGTCTATGCAAGAGACCCAACATCCATTGGACGGATACCATCAGCAACAGTCTACTGTAGGATAGAACAAACCAGCTTCCATCTGAAGAGGAAATTAGGGAAAGACGATAGAAATGGATAGGACATACATTGCGCAAATCATCAAACGGCAGCTCGAGACAAGCCCTAACTTGGAATCCTGAAGGGAAGTGGAAAAGAGGAAGGCCAAAGAACACATTACGTCATGAAAGAGAATCAGATGTGAAAAGGATGAATAACAAGTCGAAAGAACTGGAAAGGATTTCCGAGGACAGAATTGGATAGAGAGTGTTGGTGGGCAGCTTATGCTCCTTGACAATGGGTAACAATCTCATGATATTGCTTGATCGTCATCAAAATTTAATCATATGATGTTCACTTATAAAATCTTTAAAGGTGTTGGGGACGTTAGATCGCCAGAACTCACTTGGGAAAGGACCTAATTTTGTAATTTTATATAGAAAATTTGAATTTCTTCGTTTTCGCGCCAAAGGCACTCTTGTCACCTTCATGTCATATCTCCCACTGGGAAACATCTTAAATGCTATTGGTCCGTTGCGTCTTTTACTATGCTATTTGGTCACTCTCCCCAAGGACGGTTTTGTACTGTATATATACGTTTTGAATTGTGTTTGTTGTCATCACTCGTTTCTGGCTGTTTTTTTACAGAATATACTTTCCCATTCCAAACTTGGACTTCTTCTTCTAGTTAGAGGGTCTGGAATGCATCAAATAGCTAGCTTACTGGTCTTTGGTCACTGAGGTTTTGTTCTCGTTCACAGATTAAGTGAACTTGTGACAGATTCAACCCTAGAAAAAGGTTTGTATAAAATCACTCAAATGTATTCGTTTAATATTGTTTCATATTTTCTTTTCTGCGAGAAGAAGAGAGTTAGCACTTATTCCATAATTCTCTCTGTAGTTTATTGTAATACTAAACTTACTTCAAATTAATCCATCATTTTGACCTCTTTCTATAATCCTTCCCATCTTTTTTTATACTTTATTATTCATTCAGTAATGCTTGTGATATGCGTTTCCTACTTGGGATTACACTCAGCTTTAAGACAGAACAGATAAATGTGGATACATTTATGAATTCAATTTAAGGATTTCTTTAATATGGTTTATATAAATGAATGTTTCTCAACTCATATTAACACTTAAGTAGGTGAATTAATGACATAGTTATAAACTTTATATTTGAATTATTTGAAATGTTAGATCATTGAAGTTAATCAGTAAAGCAATTCTCAGTCTGTATTTGATGTCAGTTGGAACACATTAGGAAGAGGTAGATACAATGCTGAGGCAAATGCAAGGCGGCTGATACTCCTTGTGGGATACCATTCAAAACTGATATACTATCATTAAGCTAAGTCGATTTGTAGTTTTGGCTAAGGCTTGCCAACTTATCATATTGTTGAGTACTAATTTAAGTGAAATTTTGATTTAACTTATCTTCAATGATCTTATTTGAGATATTAGTACAAAGTGGCAAGGAATACATTTGCGCTATACAAATCTCACTTGATATGTATAAGGGCTGTGATACTCCCCGCATGCCCAAATCGAAGCAGGTGGTGTTCTTAGGGGGCAACATCCGGAGCCTCCGACCTAAAGGTCTGATCCACAAGGCAGTGGAGCAATGTCAGGAGATGCAGTCCCATGGTAGCCAGTGACCCATAATTGGTTCACACATCATTTGTCCCTTCAGGATACTGGAGCCCATGTGCACGATTGGTTTGGAATCAGGGTTTTCTAACTCCCCAAGGTGGACTCTCCATGTCCACCAACCCGGTTAAAGCACCGGACGTTTGCTTTTCGTCCTCACAATTTGGTAAACACCACCC